GGCACTCCCAAAACATGTGTTTAAACGTGCCAACTCTATCCAAGTCACAGAGTTTGCAATTGGGATCTCTAATTATTTTCATCGCATGCAATTTTTTAGGAGTAAGATAAAGCCGGTGTATAAAATTGTAGTGGGTTTGTTGGTGGTCAGGATTTCTGGAGGACAGGCCAACATTCTCCCATAGCCTGCACCAATCTAAATCAGGATTAAGATCACTAAAATCTGCCTTCCATAGGGATTCTAATGCCAAAGGTCTGTAGAGGGAATGTAATAAAACTTCATAGAGCTTGGACGCATAGCCAACCACGTTTGTTTGTGTGCATAATAGTTTTTTGACCGGTAGAGAGGGCAGTGACCCCTGCAGGGGAACCCCAAGCGCTTTGAGAACCGAACGTAATTGTAGGTAAAAGTAAAATGTTGTGCGAGGAAGATTGAACTTAGCACAGAGCTCAGCAAAAGACAGTAGCCCATCAGCTCCGAATATATCTCCAAGAACAGAAATTCCCCTTTCCTCCCAGGCCACACATCTCAGTGGTTGCTTATCTATTTGCAGTCTTTTGTTACCAAAAAGTGGGATCCCAGGGTCCCATGGGAAGAGCCCACCACAAAGCTTCCCAGCAATCTCCCAGACCTTTAGCAGATATGTGATAATCTGGCCATAAGAACTTGATCGGGAGCCCATTGGGTACAGATGTAAGATTTGATGAAGAGAATGAGGGCTCACCAAGCTTTCTTCCAACTCCCGCCAGGACACTTTAACATCAGTTTGGAACCAGACCGACAGAGGTCTAAGCGTGAAAGCCCAATTGTATAATTTAAAGTCTGGGAGAGATAGTCCTCCATCTTTCCTTTCACGCTGCATCGTCTGAATCTTAATCCGAGGTCTTTTGCCGTTCCAAACATATTTCGTGATAGCTGCTTGTAGTTTGGCCCAATATTGCCGGGAAGGAGGTAGTGGGATCATCGAGCTGATGAAGTTTACCCGTGGCAAAATATTCATTTTAATGACTGAGACTCGGCTGCGTAGTGAATTTTTAAATTTAGCCCATTTCTCCAAATCCAAGATCACCTTCGTTAATGTTTTTTCAAAGTTGTATTTTATGATGTTTGAGATTGATGGATAAATATCTATGCCCAGATAAGTGAAGTGTTCCACCACTGGAGCCGCAAGGGGAACCTGAGCCACATCTGGGGCTCCGCTTAGCCACATCAAGGCCGATTTTTGCCAATTGATTTTGAAACCAGAGGCTTCACCATATTTACTAAAGATAGATAAAATATTATGCATGCAACTGACTGGGTTATCAATATACAACAGGAGGTCATCAGCATATAAAGATACGCGATGTTGGGTGTTATTAATAACAATCGGTGAAAAAAAATTTGATAATCGCAAAACCTGAACAAGGGGCTCCATAGACAAAGCAAACAGCAAAGGACTTAAGGGGCATCCTTGTCTGGAACCCCTTGAAACCGGAAACAGAGAAGAGCACGACCTACCAGTCACTACTGCAGCCGACGGACCTTTATAGAGAACCTTAATCATAGTGATGTAAGAGGGACCAAAACCCATGTGCTTGAGCAAAGCCCAGAGGAAAGGCCACTCGAGACGGTCAAATGCTTTCATAGCATCCAGAGATAACACGGCTGCATGACCGTTTGCGTCTTGAACTTTGTCTATAACATGTAATAACCTCCGCACATTATCTGAGGCCAATCTTGAGGGAATAAACCCTGTTTGGTCACAGTGCACCAGTTTTGTTATGCACTTTAGCATTCGCGTGGCTAGTGCTTTAGCATAAAATTTTATGTCCGCGTTCAACAGTGAGATGGGTCTGTAGCTGGAGCATTCCATCGGATCCTTACCTTTCTTAAGTAATAACGAAATCAATGCAGTGTTTACATCACGGTGAAAATTACCTGCTAAGATTGAAAACTGAATCATATTCAACATTAGAGGGCCTAAAAGGGGCCAGAATGTCCGATAGACCTCTGGGGGGATCCCGTCAGGCCCGGGAGATTTACCCATATTCATTGCCTTTAGTGCTAATTCACACTCCTGTAGGCTAATGGCCAGCTCCAGGTCGGCAGATTCGTCCTCTGTGAGGCAGGGTAAATTTGCTATATTAAGAAAGCTGTCACACGTAGGCTGAACAAAAGACTCTTCTGAGTGATATAATGAATGATAAAAGGAGGCAAACGTGGAATTAACAGCTTTAGCGTCAGTCTGGATGGTGCCATCTGCTGTTCTAACACAAAAAATGTCAGAGAAGTACTCATCAGATTTGAGTTTGAGAGCTAAGAGGTGGCTAGGTCTTACTGACTGAAAGTAATATACCTGTCTTGTCTTGTACATAGTAAATTCAGATTGGCGCCTTAAAATATTATTGATCTCTTTTTTAACTAACATTTTCTGAGTGTGCAATTTGTCATTAAATTTCCTTTGTAATAAGGCATCGAGAGAAGCATATTGCCTCTCCCAGGCATCCAGTTTCTTAGCTCTCTTCTTATTCCTAAATGAGGCATAGAAGGTAGCATTTGATCTTATAAAGCCCTTCACCGCCTCCCACAGTATCCTGGGATCAGACACCGAACCCTCATTAAAACCTAAAAATTCTTTAAAACGCATCTCGAATTGGGTCCTATACTCCCTGTCCTGCAGAAGGGACACATTGAACCTCCATCTTATTGCTTTGGTAAGCCCAGGATGAAAAACAATTGAGCAATAAATGGGTTTGTGATCAGACCAAGTCACAGGTATATAAGAAGCATCATGAATTTTCAAAAGTGATCTGTTCGAAGCAAAGAGGAAATCTAATCTTGAAAAAGATTTGTGTCTGCCTGAAAAGAAGGAGAAATCCTTCAGAGAGGGGTGTACACTTCGCCAAATATCAAACATGCCTGTGTCACAGGCCCACTGCCGTAGCGCTTGAGTGGCCTGATGTTGATCCCTGGATTCTGCGTCCCCCGTTCTATCCATGTTTTTATCCCAGACTGCATTAAAGTCAGCTCCCAATATACACCGGTAATCAGCCAGACCAGACATAGCTTGAGTCAGGGTGTTGAAAAATTCAGAGTCGTAAACATTTGGAGCATAAACTGAAACAAGGGCGATTCGAATTCCATTTAAACATATTTTAGCAATCGTGATCCTCCCTTTATTATCTGCCCAAGAGTCAATTAAGTTAAATTTCAAGTTCCTTTTACATACCAATAAGACACCTTTTGATTTTGTTATTGCCGAAGAGCTAGCAATAACACGGTAAAACTTATTCGCAAAGCGACCTACATCCTTAGACAGCAAGACAGATTCCTGGATCATGGCAAAATCTGTATTTCGTTTCCGCAAAAAATCTAACACTATACCCCTTTTATACGGAATGTTAAGGCCCCTGGCATTAAGGGAAATACAGTTGAGACCTATCATCTTATCCGTATGTGTCATAACCTCCTAAGTAAAAGCGTAAGCTCCGGACCCAAAAAATAACCCCAAAAATAACCCCAGCTGAACTTTTTAGAACAAAAACTAAACCTTGTGAACAAAACATAGAGAAGTGGAGGCAAGCAAAAACCTCCATCAACTCTATTTGGGCCAAAAACTGAAAAAATAAGCCCCACATACCCACAGCCACCCACATCGCCACACATCATGCAAAACTGGTGTCAAGATCAGCCTGCTAATGTCCCCCCACCCAATGTCAAAATGAGACAAAGGAATTTCTTTGGATTCTTAATCAAAATAGCCAGCAAACTTCTTCATTTAAGGCATAGAAAACAAACAAGAAACAACCCTCCCATTGTCTGCACATTACCCATTAGACCACGCTCATTTCAGGTTTTTGATGCATTGTGTTGCCTTCCTTGGGTCTTCAAAGCGATGCTTAGTCCCGTTAGGAGCTGTGAAGAACAGCGTGGCCGGGTATCCAATCCCGAATGGAATTTTGGCCTGATGGAGCAAGCGCTTACATTCAGCAAAGGACTGACGACGCTCCTGCGTTGCCCTGGAGAAATCTTGGTAGAAGCTGATTTTGCGGTCCTGCCAACGCACGTCCCCCATCTCCCTGGCAGCTCTCCTCACCTGCTCCTTCTCCTGGAATCTCAGAAAGCGGACCACCAAGGGCCTCGGGGGAGCTCCAGGCTTTAGCTGTGCGATCGATCTGTGTGCCCGCTCCATCTCCAGGCCCCCTTCAAACTGTATGTTGAGAATCTCTGGAAGCACTTTCTGAAGAAAGGAAATAGCATCCTTGCCCTCTGCCTTCTCAGGAAAGCCGAAGATACGGAGATTTAGCCGCCTTTCTCTATCCTCCAACTCAGCCAGCTTCCACGTTAGAGCTTCAACATCAGTCGCTGTCGCCAGGGGGGAATCTCCCCGCTGTTTCTCCGTTTCCTCCAGCGCATCCAAGCGAGCCTCCGCACTGTTTACCCGTGTTAGCACATCAGCTAGCTTCCCTTCCATGGCTGAAACCGCTCTCGTCGTCTCCACCAGTTGGCTCCTGATATCGGCGAAATTCTTCGTTTGATCCTCCAAGATCTTGGACTGGTCTGCAGCCAACTTCTCAAGGAGCTGCGTTATTCTGGCATCCGGTTCCGTGGCGAAGTCGTCAACCGGGCCCGTCTGCTGGGCCGTTTTAGAGCTAGCAGTAGCCTTAAGCAACGTCTGCTGCAGTGGCGTCCCTGAGGTGCTTTTCTTGTAGTTCGGCATCTTATCCACACTTATATTGTTTAAAACTGGTGTAAACTCCTCTGAGAGCAGTTAAGAAAGGCTTGAAAGTGACCCCAAAGCATAAAAAGGCTGAAGCGATGTGAGAGCCCTGCTATCAAGCAGCCATCCTACCCGCCGATTCATAGTTATTTGTTAAAGTAATGCATTACCATAAATAGTAATGTGTTTACCAACATTGGTTATGTATATTACTGATTGCAAAAACACCCCTAGGTCTTTTGTCTTCTCTTTTTACTGAATATTTTTCTTTTATATATTTCTGCTTGGTTCACTGCAGTTTCAAGGAAGAGAGAAGAGACGGATGAGAAACCTCTGTTCTTACATTTCCACAACCATCAAATGAAAGACGGAGGTGTCCCAACCAGTTGCTTGGCTGGGCAGATGACAGCAAAAGTTGGTGGAGGAGCAGAAACTAACAAGAACCTAGATCTGGACCCTAATGAAAAGACATCTGATTCTTCAGAGATTGAAGTTAGTGGAGAAGATAAAGATGATGTGAATCTAGACTCCGAGCGTTCACACTCTGGGCCTGGAACTGGAAACGGAGACCATGGCTGTAATGAGAACAAGTCTTCAGAGTCAGATATTAAGACCGTCAACAAATCATTTAGCTGCCCTGTGTGTGGTATACGGTTCCTCCACAAGTGGTCTCTTCAGGAACATGAGAGAGTGACAAGTCATTCAGCAGGAAAGTCTTCAGAATGTTCGGTTAATACAAAATGTGTGAAAGAGAAGCAACATGGAGGCTCATGTAGAAAAGTCCAGAAAGAACCAAAATCATTTAGTTGTGATGACTGTGGGAAAAGATTTATCCAGAAAAGTAATTTAAACACACACATTAGAGTCCACACAGGAGAGAAGCCTTATGTCTGCGAGCTCTGTGGATACAGATGTACCCAAAAGGCACATTTAAACTATCACATGAAAGTCCACACTGGAGAGAAGCCTTTTGCCTGCGAGCTCTGTGGATACAGATGTGCCCTAAAGTCACATTTAAACCGTCACATGAAAGGTCACACTGGAGAGAAGCCTTTTGCTTGTGAGCTTTGTGGACAAAGATTTAGCCATAAAAATAGTTTAAACACACACATGAGAGTCCACACAGGAGAGAAGCCTTTTGCTTGTGAGCTCTGTGGACAAAGATTTAGACATAAAAATAGATTAAACACACACATGAAAGTCCACACAGGAGAGACGCCTTTTGCTTGTGAGCTTTGTGGACATCGATTTAGCCATAAAAATAGTTTAAACACACACATGAAAGTTCACACAGGAGAGAAGCCTTTTGCCTGTGAGCTCTGTGGACAAAGATTTAGCCATAAACATAGTTTAAAAACACACTTGAGAGTCCACACAGGAGAGAAGCCTTTTGCCTGTGAGCTCTGTGGATACAGATGTACCCAAACGTCACATTTAAACACACACATGAGAGTCCACACAGGAGAGAAGCCTTTTGCTTGTGAGCTCTGTGGGAATAGATTTTGTGAAAAGGGAAATTTAAACACACACATGAGAGTCCACACAGGAGACAAGCCTTTTGCCTGTGAGCTCTGTGAATACAGATGTTCCCAAAAGTCAAGTTTAAACACACACATGAGTGTCCACACAGGAGAGAAGCCTTTTGCCTGTGAGCTCTGTGAATACAGATGTACCCTAAAGTCAAGTTTAAAGGATCACATGAAAGTCCACACAGGAGAGAAGCCTTTTGCCTGTGAGCTCTGTGGACAAAGATTTAGCCATAAACATAGTTTAAAAACACACTTGAGAGTCCACACAGGAGAGAAGCCTTTTGCCTGTGAGCTCTGTGGGAATAGATTTTGTGAAAAGGGAAATTTAAACACACACATGAGAATCCACACAGGAGAGAAGCCTTTTGCCTGTGAGCTCTGTGAATACAGATGTACCCAAAAGTCAAGTTTAAACACACACATGAGAGTCCACACAGGAGAGAAGCCTTTTGCCTGTGAGCTCTGTGGATACAGATGTACCCAAAAGTCAAGTTTAAACGATCACATGAAAGTCCACACAGGAGAGAAGCCTTTGTCTGTGGGCTGTGTGGACAAAGATTTAGCCGAAAGACAAATTTAAAGAGACATACGAGCATCCACACATGACTCGAGGGATTTATTTAACAACAGTACTTCCAAATGTACTATTTAGTTTTTTTACAACCTTAATATTAGTCTTGTGCCTCTGCTCAACTACTTTGATCGGCCTTTGAGCCACCTCTTCTTTTGAGTTTTTTTTTTCAAATCTCCTTTGTTTTTAAAACTCAGGCCTTAACCAAACATTTGAGATGTTCATTCATGAATTCTGAATACAAAAAAATATTAAAGATTAAGAAAAAACTGTTATAACCTCCCTTGTTTAAGAAACAGACAAGACAACAGGCATATGATGATTGTAGTACATAACCCACTGCAATTTAGAGCCGTTAGATACCAGTGGCGTCTGCTTTAAACAATTTTTCTGTACATAAAGTGATAGCATACAATGTTGTAATAACTGCAGCTTAAAAATAATGTGTCTTTATTCATTTGGAGTCCCTAAGAACAAATCCCACCTTAAAGGCTGTGGAGAGACAGCTGGGACTGTTGTCAAAAAGTCATAAATTACAAGGCGGCTCTGTGGAGACTCCATTCTCCTACAATAGCATTTTGCTATTCTAAGCAGGCTTAGGAATGTGCCTGTACCAGATTTTTTAGAGATGCTGTTGTAGAGTTATAAGCAGTGGACAGATGCTGGAAAAACAGAACCACTTTTGGGCTGCATGGTTCTCCACCGGTGTACCGATGCTTGTATTAACATGGACTAGATTGTAATAAACCGGTTATCTTTTTTAACTCAAACTTTGCCATGATTGAGTCATAGCACTCCAAGAAACAGCTCAGCATGAAAATTAACCACATTCCCTTTATTTCTGATGACACAACTAAGCACTGCTGGTGGACAATTAATCACAGACACTTAGCACGCGTTCTGTATTCAGTTTGAACGAGGTTTCACGCCCTCTCAGTAGCGCAGCATGGTGCGGTTGTCCTGATTTTTTCATGTAGTTGTGGTTTAGGCATTTTTTGCCATTATCACTGATAAAAGCTGTGGGTTTATTCATTTGTGAATTAATTAAACAATACAGATCACAGTCCAATGTTTTTGTTTTGTTTTGATTTTTAAGTAAGGTTCAGCAAATGCTGTCGAATCACTGAACGCCATCATCTGGGAAATGAAATATGAACTGTTTCCAAGTACCGCTGTAATGTACTTGCATTCCACTAGGCAGAAGAAAAAATATTTGTATATAGCGTCTCTCAAGAAAAGCTCACGAGGCGCTTTATAAGAACGACAAAACTGAAAAAAAGACGAACAAAGACCATAATAAAAAAAATTTAAAAAGGGAAATTTTTAGACTAAAAATGAATCCTGAAAAAGACAAACCTGACAGAGCCAGTAGTAGGGCTGGGTGATATGACGATTTTAGACCGTTTTACGATCTACACATCTGACGGTCTGTCATTTTTGAGAGACCTTTTTATCACGATTCACAGCTCTGCTGTTGAATTTCTGCCTCTGAATGAAAAGGGAACTTACCTCAGGTGAATGACATGCCTTTGTTTGACCCTTAACCAATCAGAGTGAGTCATAGTAATATATTAGTGCCCCGCTTGTTTTCACCTGTGTGTGAACAAACATGGCTACGGCCGCAGCCGAGAGCGACAACGAGGTTTTCGTTCCGAAGAGGAACGCCTCGTCCATTATATGGAATTGGTTTGGTTTTTCACCAGATGACAAAGAGCAGCGAAACGTCATTTGCAAAGTTTGCAAGGAGAGCGTCAAGGCAAATGATGGTAACACCACAAACTTGTTTAATCACTTGAAAAGAAGGCATCCCAAACAATTAGGGGTGGATCCGAACCCGAATACGGTATTCGGAAAGACAAAAAAATAACGTGTTTTTTACAAATACTTATTTTGAACAAATACTTGAAAAAAAATATTTGCTCTCGGGAGCAAGAAAAACGTGATATCAAAAAGCTGCATTTCTTCATGAGAACGCAGTGCTTTCCCGGATGAGTGAGTGACGTTCAGGAGTCGGCCGGGGTGGGGGTTACATAAGGTTGCGCTGGCTGACAGACTGCCCCACACAGCTTGACTGAGCGAGAAAAGACTTAACTGCATCACTATTTTTGTTGAGAAGATTTTTGTACTGTAACTGGGTTCCGGAGGCAGTTTATAACTTTCGGGAAGCGGAGTTTGATCCGGGGATTATTCTGTTGTGCAGCATTATTGACGTCTGCAGTCGAGTCTGAAAAAAAAAAGACAGGAGCGCCGTTATGGCTGCTCTCATGGTCTGCCTGTATCTGTCTTGTCTATGTGTGTGTGTGTGTGTAACCTTGGTCAGGTTGTACTGTGGAGTCAAGTTCCTACGCTCTGAAAGGAGCGCTGGCAATAAAATTCTTCTGATTCTGATTCTGAGTGCCCTCATGTTCGCTCTGTTTACGTAGCTCTGTTAGCTCGGTAATTTAGACAATAGGCTGTTGACAGAGTAATGTTAACGTTCAGTTAAAAAGGTTAAAACGAAGCTTGTAGTTGTGCCAAACTGACTGGACTTGTGGGAGTTTTTTTGATAGATTTAAGATACTCTGTCTTGCAGACAGCAAGGTGTAAGTTGTAGGCTAGTTAGCCCTAGCATAGCTTCGCGTCACTCATTAACTTAGCTGAAACTCTCCACATGGATTTGGGCAACCCAATAGAAACAAGCGTGGCTGCTGCTGAGCCATCACTTGGTCCTCCACCAGCCAAAAAAACGTGCTCAAGTTCTGTGTGGAAGCACTTCACAGTCAGTGCTGCAGATAAAACCAAAGTCATATGTAATGTGTGCAAAAGTCAAATCAGCAGAGGCAGAGATATCAAACATCTGTCAACATCTGCTATGCCTAATCACATGAGCATCCTCTCCTAGTACTGTCTGCCACCCCCCCCCCCCCCCCACACCCCACACCCCCCAAGCATCAAATCATCAAAACAGCCATGCTCTGCCCCTGCAAGTCAGTATAATAGCTGCATTTAATGGAAAACAGGCTTGGTATGGCGATGGTACATATTCATTGCTGGATTTATGGAAAAACATGAACCATATTGAATATTCATAATCACTATAATTGATATAATTAAAGAATAGTTTTTATAACGTTGATTAGAAGTGTTTAGCAAAAGCAACAGGATTTTTATGCCAATTTTGCAATTTACTCTTAATACAAATACAAATACTCCCCCCCCCTCGACGAATACAAATACAGATACAAATACCGGCTACTTCGCACACCCCTACAAACAATACAATGAGAGCCAGCTGGCAGCTAAAGCTAAAAAGCCTGCGGCTACAGCGGCAGCGGCTCTTCCAGGCAGCAAACGCTAACAGAAACACTCACAAAACTCACTCCCTAAGACAGAGACAGCAGACGATGGAACAGCGTGACAGATGCAGTGACGTACCACTTGGTTAAAGATTCGTGTCCCGTGCGAACAGTAGGAGTGGGATTTATGAAAATGATAAAAACATTGGATCAGCGCTACGAGTTTTCCAGCCTCAAGTATTTTTTGAACACCGCCATTCCACGCATGTACGCTGAATGCAAAGTGAGAGTTGCAGAAAATATTCAGAATGCGCAATTACCACAAGCGATCTCTGGTCCAGCCGCACATCAGAGCCTTATTTGAGCTTAACTATCCACTACATGAGCAACTGGGAGCTACATAGTATTTTGAACAAGTTAATGTTTGCACAATACGTTTGCAATTGACATGTTTGCACTTTAAATATGTTTACGATATTAATTTGTTAAATTACTTGAAAAACGAGAAAAACTGATTTTTGTAATTGTTTCTCTCAGGGCTTTTATCGTCTCTGGTGTGAGTTTAAAATATAAGTGTGTTAGCACTGTGTTGCTTATCCCTAATATGAATAAATGTTTATTTATTCAATGTTTCTCTTCTTTAATATGCAATTGAAGTTATGCTATTCATGGATAAAAAATTGTGATAAAATCGAAATCGTGATAAAATATTGGAAAAATCGTGATATTCTATTTTTGCCATATCGCCCAGCCCTAGCCAGTAGTGTCAAAAAAAGCTACTGAGGAAGAATCATGAACAAAGTGTGTTTAGATGTAGAGCTGAAACGATTCCTCGAGTACCTCGAATAATTCGAGTACAAAAAATCCTCGAGTCAAATTCTCTGCCTCGAGGATTCGTTTAATTCATATTTAATTAATTCGTGGCTTTGCAATCGCCCGGGGTCATGTTTCACCCGGACCGAAATAAGTGACGCACATGCCCACTGGACTGAATGCACACGCGAGTAGCGAATATAACTTAACTTTCTCTTAACAACTTGGACCCCGGTGGAGTGCGAAAAAGACAGAAAATGTCAAAGGTGTGGGACCATTTTTCACGTCGTAAGACGGAAAACGTAGTCCAGTATAAATACTGTAAAATGGATTTAGCCTACCACAACACCACATCCTCCGTGCTGCAGCACATGTAAATGTCACTTCTGCAAGCGGACTCAGAGCCTCTACAAGATAATGCTTTTTAGCCTGTTTTTCTATATATTCTGCGGACACTGTGCGACTTTTTCGTTTGTAGCACTCAGTTTCAGCTCACACCGTACATCTGGTAGCAACACGTCGGACTTAAAATGTGCTAAAAAATAGCAGTTTTTACACAATATGTCGGACTTTCTATTGTGTTATTGATGTCTGTTGTCCCTCGGGGTTTCTGCAGGAGGACACGGGTATTTATGAGTGGCGGAGGAAAACGAAAGAAAGTAAATAAATGTTTTGTGATCAGTATAATTTGACAAAACCACAGCAAACATGCTTTTGGCAATCCTTGTTAGTGTGAGAAAAAAAAGTGTAGAAATTAAAACGGACGTGTGTTAATAGGGAAACAGCCGACGAGCTGTTTGCGCCGTGAGCGGTTCTGGTTCTGTTTGGGCCGCAGCCGCTCGCAGCGTTATCCTCCTAGTTTTTGTCTGGCTTGCAGGCTAGCAGATTCTCGCACGAGGGGAAAATCGGCTCAGGTTGTTTACTTATTTTTTGCACACGCATTTGTTTACTGTGAAGTAAAGTTGAAGTGCTGAAGTTTTGAAAACTAATTTTGAATAAAACTTGAAGAATAACTGGCAATTGCTTGCTTATTTTAAAAGGTCTTTCATAATTATAACATGCTATTTGATATCAAATCCCTTTTATTGTCACGTCACATGTGCAGGTACACTGGTACAGTACATGCGAGTGAAATTCTTGTGTGCGAGCTTCACAGCAATAGAGTTGTGCAAAAATACAGTAATGTAAAAACAAGTAAAATATAAAAATGGCTAATCTAAGTATACAAATGAATAAAGTAAACAATAAGATAAGAGATATAAAATGTACAGAGTTTGGTATGTGCAAAACAGTGGCATTAATGTACAGTATGGAGCGTGTAATGTTGGAACTTGGTGGAGCTCGCGACGAGGCAGCCATACTCGGCGCCATCTTGGCTTATCAATATATGATATAATGGTTTACAAACACAAAAGGGTAATTTATTAGAGTACTCGATTAATCGAAAAAAAGATTCGATAGAGTACTCTATTGCAAAAATATTCGATAGCTGCAGCCCTATTTAGATGGTAAATGACAGAGTTCAGAGCGGTTCTGGTTCAGTCCGCTGTTGAATCATCAACATTTGACAGGAGACATGATCGTCTTTTATACAGAATGTCTCGTGTCTTCATCTGTCTAGGGCTGTTATGATGGTTTAATTTTTGAATCATTTCAACATTTAAGTAGGGCTGCTCAATTTATTGAATTTTAATCACAATTACGATCTGAGTTTTGAACGATTACACAAACAAAACAAGCCGATAATTTGCTCCTCCCACTTGCGCTGCCCTGAGTTGCAAATGAAGTGCTCCTCCCACAGTGTTGCCAACTGAGCGACTTTGACACTATTTCTAACAGCTTTTCAGACCCCCTTCTTGACTTTTTAAATCTTAAAAGTACCTAGCGAACACCTCAGAAACATCTTTGGTAACCCTTAGCTACTTTCTGGATAACTGTCGTTGACATTTCCTGCAGGTTAGCTAAACACTCCGCCTGCGATCCGGACCGTTCTTCAGGACATTAGGAAAGGGAATGATGTAGTGATGTGTCAGTCGCTAAAGAAACGGCTCTCAGAGCCGGCTTCTTGTTGGAGTAACCAGAGTGAGTGACACTCACACCGCACCTGCGGACTCCTGAGCCGCTAAAAATTAGAGGGTGCTCGCTGCGGAACCACAAAGGCGGAGCTGCACCATTAGGTGGAGCTGCACCAGAGTCAGCCCCGCCCACTCACGCAAACAGCCTAGCCCACTGACTTTTTCTGTTTATTTTGATTTTTATTTTATCGCAAACTAATCTGACCCACATGAATAACGGCTTTTACTAGTTTACAAATGTTAATGCTATGTTCTATGCTCCAATTAAGCAAGATAAATATTACTTGCTACATGACAAAGCCTGAATATATCCCAAAATGTAAAGGTTTCTTTTAGCGAATATCTGTCCGTAGCCGCTCCAACAGAAACGAACTAGATTAGCATTTAAGGACAATTGTTTGGTAGTCCAGTGGCAAAATCGTCAAACTTAAGTTTTGCTTTCCCCTCAGCTGATGTTGGTTCGACTCTTGGTGGGGTCTGCAACAATCTATTTAGCCAGCTGAAACATTTAATTTGTTTATATTTTAGTTGTAATATTTATTTTATGCAAAATATTTATGTCTCTAAAAGTTCTTTGAATTTGGTCATTCCTAAACAGCATTTTAGTTGAAACTCTGCTCACAAATGGACTCGTCTTCGTCTTCCTCCGCTTATCCGGGTCCGGGTCGCGGGGGCAGCATCCCAATTAGGGAGCTCCAGGCCGTCCTCTCCCCGGCCTTGTCCACCAGCTCCTCCGGCAGGACCCCAAGGCGTTCCCGGACCAGATTGGAGATGTAACCTCTCCAACGTGTCCTGGGTCGACCCGGGGGCCTTCTGCCGGCAGGACATGCCCGAAACACCTCCCCGGGGAGGCGTCCAGGAGGCATCCTGACCAGATGCCCAAACCACCTCAACTGGCTCCTTTCGATCCGGAGGAGCAGCGGTTCTACTCCGAGTCCCTCCCGAATGTCCGAGCTCCTCACCCTATCTCTAAGGCTGAGCCCGGCCACCCTACGGAGGAAACTCATTTCGGCCGCTTGTATCCGCGATCTCGTTCTTTCGGTCATTACCCAAAGCTCATGACCATAGGTGAGGATTGGGACGTAGATCGACCGGTAAATCGAGAGCCTGGCTTTCTGGCTCAGCTCCCTCTTCCCCACGACAGATCGGCTCAGCGTCCGCATCACTGCAGACGCCGAACCAATCCGCCTGTCGATCTCCCGATCCCTCCTACCCTCACTCGTGA